GGTTTATGTAAATAATGGCCCTCGCAAAAAAGTTTTCAAAGATTTCTTACTTCGTCAGGGCTTTCAAGGTAATAGACAAACCAGCAGGCTGTGAAAATCGTATTCAAATTTATTACATAATTGTTTATGAACCAAAAATTATGAACAGGAAATCTCGCATTTAAACTTTCTTGTATATTTTAGACATTAAAACTACTTTAATACGAACATTATTCTCGCAAGTAATGCCATTGCTGTTGGATGATGCTATGCCAACAATAATGATTATAAATTACTTATGGAGTATGCTTGTTAGTCTCAATTGAACTATTTACAGATGGCTAGTATATAGAGGATTATAAAATCACAAGTTTTAAGATAATCTGAGAATGTTGCTAAAATACAACTCAGGTCCTGCGGATGGAATAGAGGCTATACCTCTGCAACAATTTGTTAATTTATCACACTAATTCGCACCTGTTCAATAGCGAACGTCTATCAGTGCTTTGCGTAAACATGGCCATGCGTAAGCGTTTTGGTAGAGCGCCCTCGGCAAGCGCCAGAACTTGTATTTTTGCCGGTTCTTCATCAGCTTCCTAAAGTGAAGTTCTAACTAAATATTAACAGATGATTTTAGGCACTTCACACGATGCAGGAATATTCTTGAGGTTTTAAAGGGTCTTAATTTCGAGTGGTATTATACGCACTTCAAATTCAAGCAGGGAACAGTTGATGGAAAAATGAGTCAACTGTACGTCCTCAGTGACAAGAGCATTGCACCGGCATGCAAAAGCGTAGGTTCGATTCCTGCCGGAGGATCTATAGTTCACTCATTTTTCCGTCATCTGTTCCTGGCTTGATTTGAAGTGTGTATAATACCTCTCAAAATTAAGACCCTTTAAAACCTCTTAAATATCAACTGAACTAATATGTACATTCATCACGGCTAAAAAATGCAGAGCGTTATAAATGACGTTCGTCAAAGGCGGAAAATTCTCAATGGATGAATGAATGAATAAAACGTACCTCGATTATCTCCTTCAGAACCATGCCAGCACCTTTCACAATTGTTGTCGACGGATGCTGAAATTGTTGAGGAACGAATTCAAAACCACGATTGGTAAGAACCATTAGCGGGGCAATAGTAAAACATACATAAGCGAAGAAATGGTAAAATTGGTACTATTATTTAGTTTTGTCGTAAACCTACCTGGAACAATCGATAAATGCAATGACCCATTTCTAGACAAACAAATAACAGACTTCATGAGTTGCTCCTATGCATGGGTCAAGCTAGTGGACGTGGTAAACTTCACCAAAAAGGTAAAGAGAGAAAGGCTATTTAATCAACTCTCAACCTCAGTCAAAGAGCCATAAACTACCAAGAAGACAAGTTGAATGAAAAGCTCCTCAAATTTCTTTGTAGCATACCTGCAACTTTCTCCAGTAATTTCCCAAACTGTTCATCATCTGTTGTCTCACTAAGAGGAATATGCAATAGTCGATTTATTGTAACAGACTACATGAGTTGATTCAAAATATTGGAAGCAATCACACCTTACTATTAGTTTAACATGAATGTCCAACTTCACCCCCGTATTATTTTAATATATTGCAAAGCAACTAGAACAAACCTGTAAGGAGGACACAGAGCAAACGTCAGAAAATCAAGCAATCCACTTATAACTAAAACCCCAGTAGAACGAATATAGAAGAAAAGTTTTCATGGTTAATCTATTTCTTGTGTTTAGTTAGAAAGGTAGTTCAAATTAGAAAGGCAGTTGCTACGAATCACTTGCTGGGTTTTGCAAGGGAATTTCTCTTCCAAAACAAAGCTATATACATACAAGAGGGATGGAAAAATAAAATGCAAGGGTTCAGCATAGATTATAGGCAACCAACACCGCACATCTTACAACATTTATCGTGAGAATTTCCAACAAACTGCTTAGAAATTTTTCAGAGGATAACAAAGAGCTTTTGTTTATCTATTCTTGTCGAATGTCATAGTTATCGTGCGTTGGCTATATAAAAAAACAGAATTGGTTTCGATAAAATTGGATCCTGTTAACATTCAGATTTCAAAGTTGGCTGAGTTTATGTGGATTGCAAGTTAAAGGGGTAACACTAATGACAGTGACAGATTTGGCAACATATTACCAGGAAATTCATCGTTAAAGTGTTGGCGCTTTCCTTTATACGGAAAAAACGGCCAGACCGGTCCTATTGTTGATCTCGGTACAGACAGATTACTGGTATTTTAGAGTGTTTCAAGAACTCTGCGTTCAAGTATATCGTTACTTGCATCTGTCTAGCTCGGAAATTTCGCAACTATATTCTTAACGAAATACTCTATTTTAAATTTAAATATGACCGGTCTGACCATTTTGGCCGCTTAAAGGAAAGCCCTCTCTTTACCTGCATCAGAGCACACAGTATGTCGACAGCGGCGTGAGTCACGGCTTCATTATTCCTCTTCAAAGCTTTCACAGTTTTCACACCAACCTTCTCATAGAAGCTGTAAACAAAACAGAAACACGGTCTAGAGAAAGTGAGCTGGTTGAGTAAACAGCGTGTGTTATGGTTAAAGATAAACTTTTCTCACCTAGTGAGCGTTGTGAAACCTGCTTTGGATCCAACCTAATGTCTCAAAGCGTGAAACAGTGCTTCGAGATCTTTATCTGATATTTTGTTTTGGTCTCCCTAAATAGACGAAACATTTTAACTATTTTATGTATATATTGAATACCTGTGAAGGTAATAGCAGTCAGAATATGTATATTTTAGGGGTGAACACTAAATATATTTATTGGCAAAGATATACAATACCTTCGTGAGCAATGAGCATTGTGATGGCATTAATGATAAGTCTTTCTTTATTCTCCGGGAAAAGTCCTTACAAAATATTTAAAATCGTTTGAAATATATATTGGAGTTTAAAAGACTTAATATTCCAGCCGTACTTCTGGCGAGAAAAATTCAAATCTACCATTTCATGGATTCGGACCCAGTCAACTCAGCAACCAGAGTTACCGCAGCGTAGTCCCTAGGCCTCTTAACGTTCCTTATACGCGGCGAGGCGGGAACTGAGAGGCCTAGAACAAAATGTTTTGTATTTTGGCTATTTTGTCCCCACTTTCTGTATTGAGGTCAGTTTACGATCCACGACGCGGTTAACTGGCCTTGTTCGACGTCGCAAGTCAAATATCTGCTTGAAATAACCTACGGGATATTAATTATACTGTCAGGACTTCGAAATATCCATACAAACGTTTCAATGTCATTTGCTGTCGACGCTATCGACTATCAAGTAAACTCGAGTCCGTGCGTACATGGTTATGATTATAATAAGCTTCAATCTGCCAATTTAAATTATTCTCGCTTCCTTTATAACGATTATTTGTGTAAATCTAGGTCAACTAATGCATACTAAAATAAGCAGAAAACTAACGTGCGTATGAAAAACACGTGAGTGGAAAACAGCCTTAATCCAGATTTTGACAGAACATTAAAACTCAGTAAAAATGCAATAATATTCTCTACACAGGATTTTGTCTGCAGAAAAGTACAAAATAAGAAATTGTCAACTTACGTCTTGGGTGACTGCATGAAGTAGACCGCTGTAGGAAATATTGCAGTTAAATCTCTACACATCTTCGGTTAAATTTCCTGCAAGGAACCAGTAATAAGACAATATAAGCTTTTGGAGATATTTCAAAAATTTAAAGTGAAATAAAAAGAGAAATATTTCACCTGGAGACGCAGCGAGGAATTTTAAATGACTGCTTTCTACTTCTTCGTCAACAACGTTATACAATGGACCCCAACGATAACCTTGAAAAATATATCATCTTAAAAAAACAATTCTTCTTTTGCTGTATGTGATGTATTGGACTGACTAATAGGAATACCTGACGAGAAGTGTAATTGTTTGTGTGTTATATGAGATCCCATACGTCAGGAGGAGAATGAAATGAGGGTTCGTATTTACGGTAATCATAGCAGTGCGAGATTTTCATCAGGAAAATTTTGACCATAATTTTCGCTCAATCATCTATGAAAAAGCGTACAGTACCGTCTCTTCGTTGGGGTCGTTTTTACACAAACATCTCCATTTCCACTGCCTCTAACCCCGTGTAGCTAACCAGCCAATGATATATCCCTAGATTGAGTGAAATACACATTCAGAACAAGAAATATTTTATATAGCTTCATACAAAATCTGCTTTTTTAAACTACCTGTCGGAAGACGAGTAATTTCTCAGCTGACCGCTTGTGTATTCCAGCCCGAACAACTGAGGATGGTCTCGATAGCTAATTATTGAAAATATCTGACAGAAAAAGAAGTTTTAAAACTATGATATACTATAATACACAAGTCTTAACCAAACGGTATATTCTGGAAAGTAACTGCAAAAATAAAACTATTTTAAGTCGGCTGGATACTTTTTTGCAATTGGACATGTTCAAAATGGAAACGTGAAATAAAAAAGATGATAAAAGCAGTAAACTTGAATCCAGGTCAGAAGACATCGAGTGTTTGGAGTGTTTGGAGTGTTTGGAATGTTTGTTTTTTTCTTTCAAGGTCTGAGATGAACAATTACTGGAACTGACATGGAATGTCGCATGACTTACTGAGCTAAGGGGATGAAGGCTGACGATGTTGAACATATATTATAGTAATAATAGTTTATAGTTTATTATATATTATAGTAATAGAGTTGATGTTCGCGGGCATAAATGTGTTTTTGGCCCTCCTCGCGGAACACATTTTAACCCTCGCTACGCTCGGGCTAAAATGAGTTCGAAGTCGGGCCAAAAACACATTTATGACCGCGAACATCAACTCTATTGTTATATTATTATCACTATAACATACACATGAGTATATACAAAATTAAAATACAATAATTAGTAAATACAATAATTAGTAAATACAAAATTAGTAAAATACAATAATTAGTAAATAGATTTGAATAAATATAGTTCACCTAGGTGCAGGCATTTTAATGATAACTCCAAGCTTATACTTTCTGGATAATTTAATACATTCTATAGGGTTTAATGATCAATATAGGGATAAGTATCATAAAATTGTTTGGCTGTTGGGGTGTATAAACTATCAAAACTACAAAATTATATCCTGTCAAAATTTCGAATTCTAAAATAATGCCGGGTTTATGGTCATTTGAATTTGCTTGCTACTTTTATAATATGCAAAAAAGTAGACGGTAGACACTGATTTTAAGTTCAAATTTATAATATTTCGAAAATATATTATGCATTATTAATTATATAACATACCTTGAATAAATTTGAAGTTTTACATGATTCAAGAACATTTTCATTTGTATACCGAACTGTTTCGCCTTTGGATTTGATTCCGTTCATTAGTCAAAGTACACTTCAAGATGTCGGGCTTCCGTTCAAAATTGTCGAGGCCAGGGATATGACGGTGCTAGTGCTGTGTCCAGCCAGGAAAAAGGTATTTCTGGGAGAATATTAGAGAAAAACCCGAAGGCGTTGCATGTTCATTACTCCAGTCATCGTTTAAACCTTATTGTTGCCAAAGCGTGTTCAATTCTTCCAGTGAAAAATATTTTGAGTCAGGCACAAAATATCGCCAGCTTTTTTATCAGTTTCCCTATCCGCTCACAGTATCTAAGTAAAAAGATGAAAGAGTTTGGTTTAACCCGTAACAAGCTCGCAAACCTTCCACGACACGATGGGTAGAACGAATAAGATCCCGCGATGGTTGTTTGGATGCATTCAAAGTTATCTACGAAACACTCAATTTTATGCAGTTTGGAGGATCGCAGGAAGGGCCATTTCCTAGATTAGCTAGTGACGCACAGTCTCATTTTCGCAACGTGGAGAAATTTGAATTTATGGCTGCTCTCATTATCACCCAACATGTTCTGGATCATACTTTGTCATTGACGGTCCAATTAAAGAAGAAAAAAAATCTATATTGCGGAATCAATAAAACAGATTAATCTTTTAAAGGATGAAATGGCAAAACTACGTGCCTCTGTAGATTTATTCCAAATGAATACTACGACAAGCTGTTGGAATTAGCTAATAACCTCGACGTGGCTGAGTGTTTTCCCCGGGTATGTAAAGCTCAAACAAAATGTGATAATAATCGTACCAGTACAGCAGGTGGTTACAACAGATTAACAGTAACCATTAAGAGTCGTGCATAGGCCACGTGATAACGAAACATTCTGAGCTCATCAATGAACAATTGTAAAGGTTTTATTGTAACTCATAGGAAAACCTAAGGATATATTTTGTAAAATCTATTATATTACGAGTGTCTTTCCCTAAGTCTACCGACCCCTGAATTCCCCACGCTATCGTCACCCTGTAATAAATAAGTAACGTTGCAAGTCCTCACCTTCAACCACAAGGATTAAATTACGTAATTCGAAGTGAAAATTGAGATACCGTTTCTGAGTTACCGTTATAATGCTCAGTATTTAATAATCCGTATAAGACAAATTTATCATTATTATTTTGACTTACGGATTCATTAAGTTTATCCTCGTCTTAACTCAAAAAAGTTTTCAAAGGACTTGCATCCAGAAGGGATTTACCAGGAACAGGCTAAAATTAAACAGATGTTGAGATTAATGCACGATGATGATTCGTGATCTTAAAATTGCTACCTTTTTAAACTCTTCACGAGTTAATAAGCCTTGACTGTTCCCTGTGAAAGAAAAATAGGTAAATATAGTCATATTATAATATATATATTTCCTCCATATTGCAAAGGTAATTTCGCTTGCCTTCAGTTTCTTCCTTGTGTATAACAGTGTCTTTGGAATCTGGTACGACATCAATCTGAAACGATTGTAAAATGAAAAAGCTAGTCTAAATCAAAGATTTCTTTCTTTTCTGCTTCCCCTGCCAGTCATGTTAGTAGCAATATAAGGGATGGATAGTGAATGGTTCTTGCACGAAATAATTTCATGCAAGCGGTTTGAAGAGAATTCTTACCATAAAAGCGCTTGTCCATATCTCGGACTACGACTCAATATCGAGTTCGTTGAACAAATGCCGAACCAAGATTCAACTTTTGACCGGAATCTTGTAATAAATCGACGAGGGTGAAGATCTGCCGTGTTCTGTAAGCAGCATCTTTTGTTCTGCGCTGTCTAAAATGTTGGCAGATAATTTGTTCATTTCGTAAATGCGCGAACAATGGCCGATCTGTTTTAACATTACAAACCTGACTCCTTGAGTTCGGTTTTCTTCATTTCAACATCATCCCGGGTATCTTCAATATTAGTTTCCTCATCTTCTCTACACGATGCGAGGCGATCTTTGACAAGATCTACAATCAATGTACGCTGTCTGTGCTCTTGCTAAGAAGTTCTGTTGTAGTTTCAAGGCGTTTTCTGGCTCCTTCTTTAATGAGTTCGGCCGATAAATCATCTGAAATACACAATATCAATTTGACATTCCGCCAACGGAATGCCCAACCGAAACATTGAACAGGTTTGACCCATCGTTGACCTTACCAAAGAGTTGTTTTGGAATTAAACTTTCATAAATCTCAGTCTTTCCCACCGCTGGTCGTCACAAGATGTTTGAGTCACAAGATTTCTGTACTGAGCCTACGGTACCAGTGGGCTTTAAATCGCGGGTAAGAGGTCAGATGCTTTGGTATCGAATTTTGTGTTTGGCACCTGGCTAGAATCATCTGCACGAGTTTTTCTATCAGTTGAAGAAGCCTGGAAATGACAAATACGTTCCTAAGAGCTTTCACTAGAAGAATATTAAAACTTGGTCGCTCTTGCAAATATATCTATTGAAAATTCAGCAGCAATCCCCTGGCAATAGAATGACATGTGGACTTACTTTTGTAATAAATGGCACGAATTGTTTTCTTAACAATAGCGGACAGTTGACAAACCAGGATGAAATGACTTATCAGCAAGAGCTACATGTATTGAGAGTATCTAAGGTGAAACATATCAGTTCGTTTATATTTTAATCATTTTGACAAAACCATAAAAAGTTTCAGATGTTATCGCGTTGAGCCAACTTCGATGATTCTGTGTAAGGCAAACATATTCCAAAGACTTGTTTCAACTGGATCGCTGTGAAGTTTTTGTACAAAGCACAAAGCTGTTACAATGCGATTTAAACGATTTAAAGAATGTTACCAACTTTTCGCCGAATACGATTGTGTGTTTACACAACCTAGCTCTCTTTAGGGGGTACATTGATATTTTGTAACAGATTTCATATTTACGTAACTTCAACATACCAGAGGGAAATTCTAGCAGTGGTATGGCAACTTGAGACGTTGGCGAAAGTTTAGTAAACTTTTCCAGATATTGTGGGAGCAGTCTAAGGACAGAAAATTTAGTAATTATTACTTAAAAAATCATATATTTGTGAAGGAGTATCTCGCATCACAAGAGACGTTACGTTTAGGCTGGAGTTTATTGAAAACGTTTCTGTAAATTCACTGAGCACATTATCAAGGCACGATTTCAATATCTCCAAGAAATAAACTTCTAAAACGCTACAACTACTTAAATCAACTTCGTTCTTACAAAGTGCTAATGGAAATAAAAAAACGTCTCAAATTCCAGACTATTTTAAGTAGCCATACCTTGCCATAACTGAAGGCATTTCTAACATACATACGGTGAGACAAGATACGCTTAACGTCGCGAAATGAGCAACCAAGTACGCATCAGATAACACTAGACGAAATATACAACAACGTTTAAGCAAGAACAGACAACCGCTGAAAATAAAGTCACGCAGATTCTTACCTGTTCATTTTTACCAATAAAAATGTGGTACGTACACAGCTCCGTTAATACCTGCACGTGTTACAATAAAATATCCAATTAAATCATTAGTATGGTATGATATAATTATGGTATGATATGCATGGTTATGGTATGGTATGATTTCGTTATGGTATGGTATGGTGTGATATTATTATGGTAAGATATGGTTATCGTATGGTATGATTTAGTTATGGTTAGTTATGGTATGATATGATTATATGATATGATTATATGATATGATTATATGATATGATTATATGATATGATTATATGATATGGTATGGTTATGGTATGGTATGGTTTTGGTATAATTATGGTAAGATATTATGATATATGCAAAAAACTGATTGATAAGAACCGTACTGGAAAAATTCTAGCGTACAAATGAGGTCGGCGCATATCGTTAGGAACACGAAATAATCCAGGAAGAAAATCGTAATTTGAAACCTGAATGCAAAGTAAAATTTTTAGTTCATGATTTTGGTGTGAAAAGTACACAACTTCACTTCCCTTCCCATTTTTAGAGAAGACTGTAGATATTGAACGGAAATATTGCTTTCCAGAAAGTATCAAGTTTTTATCTTGCAGTGCCTCTGGAAAGTTCCTCAGAAGAACATCCAACACCTCCCATTCCAATTCCTAGAAAATGAAGAAAGTTGAACTTCAATCGAAACTTAATGCCAGATGATATATTATGATAGAAAAGTTTACCTGTTGTAAGCACACAAGAATAACATTCATCGCCTCGCTGTAAGGCAGTGAAACAATCCCGTTTGTCTTATCTTCTGCAGAACTAAAACAAAAATGAGAATGTATTACGCAAACAAGAAAAGGAATTTTGGAAGCAGAATACCTGACATACGTGGCACTATCGTCATTAACCAACATTTTCTTTCAGAACAAACAAAATACGAAGTGAATTAAACTTTTCTACTTTTGTCTTGCACAAGGCCTAGACGTTGTCAGCTCGCAGACTGAGGAAACATTGAAGAATCTTTAAGAAAACACAATGTGAGACATCATAGAAAAATCGCGAGAAATAAAATTGAATTTGCCTTACCGAAAGCCGTATTTCCGATGCACTATACGTCCGATAGCTATTGTCATAATGATTTTATGTGGTACACTAATATATTGAATATTCGTTCGGCTCGTTCTTGAGGTTTACGGAACAATTTCATCTGCAAAAATAGAATGAAATTACTGAAAGAGAAGCAAGTGTGGCATTAAATTACACTTATTTTTGTTCACGAAAATAACTTCATCACAATGAACGAATATGTGTGGACAATCTCTGCATGTCCTTCATTACCTTGAACAAGCGTACTAATCCTAATACAGCCTCCTTGATGTCTTTCTATGCTGTTTCATCCTGAGGCTGCAGCAACAAAGACAAATTACAGTGATTAGATGTAATTTTATGTCTCTAGATGTTCCTACATATACCTTGCAGTCTCTATAATTACCTTACATGTTCTTTACATGACGGCTTAACGTATCGTTTGAGAGGATCAACTGGACAGTGGCAATCTGGAATTGATAAATGAAATATATATCCTTTTACTTCACTGATGCGTTTGCATTCACGACCCCCGTGTAAAACGATCCAATTTGCGGATATATAGTTAGGTTCAGGTCAGGAAGCTTTCACTGATAAGAAAGAGTTTTCTATTGAAGTACAGTATCAGCTCATCACGAATGAAGAGGGAAATTGGAGTGGAGAAATGAAACCGTCTAAAAATGATTGTATTGAGTACCTTCTCGATTATATGCAAAACATCGCAAACTTTCGGTGAATCAGAGGATTCAATAACATCGACCAGAAGCTGGACAGCTCGGATCCGCACAGAAATATCCCGATCTTTGACAATGTGGTCTAAATGTGGCAACACTGAATTCTCAAGTATTTCTTCCTGTAAAAAACAAGGAGTTATAAAACTAGAAAAAGATTCATAATATCGCTAATGTCTAGAAAAATGGACTAAAATTTATTCAAAGTACTAAAATTTTATACCTCATATAGTGGAGATAACGTTCCTAATATGTTACAAAGCACATTTAGAGCTTTAATTCGGTTGGCCGTCCTCTCTTCACATCTAAAAAAAAATTCCCATTAGGATAAGACTGCGGCTACATAGAAATACATCACGAACTTAAACAAAAATCAACATACCAAAATATTACATTTTTACATAACAAAATATAAAGAAAAAAGAAGACCACACACTTGAAGTATTTCTACACCAAATCTTTAATATTTTCAAACCAGTTTTCGCAGTAAGGATGAAGAGACTGGGAACGATGAGAAACCAGGAGAATAACTGAGGATTACTGCAAACAACGACATTTCATTTAGCTGCAAACAACGACATTTTATTTAGCTAAGTGGATTCCGTTAGATCTTCATATATTTTATTAATTTTGTCCTCAAAGAAAGTCATAAAATTGTTAGCTAGATTCTCATCAGATTGGCACACAGGATATTGAGAATCAGGGGTATAATGTAGTAACTTTCCAACGGTTTTAAATAATTTCTTTTGGTCACTCCCATTATCTCTAACAATTTCAGAATAATAACGAGTACGACTTTCCTATAATAGCTCACTGACACGGCGACATTGCTGACTGTATTTTAGACGATCACAGGATTGTCTTGACTTACGCCATACCCGCTCGAGTTTCCTTCTGATACGTTTTTCGTTTTTAATTTGTTCAGTGTACCAAGGTGCATCTGGACGAATAATTATCTCTCTGGAAATAAGTGGTACATGATGATCCAGAATTTTGGGCAGCTCCGAGTTGTATTGGTTGACTTTCGCACTTATATCAGCTCAAAGCTGAGTAAACAGCTGTATCAGGAGTGTTGGCAATGCCTGATAAAGGAATATTGATGAGATTGATTCTCTTAATATAATTTCTGCCATATATATTTACAGGCTTTGGGACACGGTCCGTGATTCTAACAGGGATAGCTTCCTGATGATTTGCAGGATGATAGTGATTGTATAGTGTGGCGGGGTGTTTGCGAAGTAGGTATTATAGCAAATATTCCTATAGGTCATATGGAACAACCAACCTTTCTGTAGATTCAACTGCCCAAGCATTGAACTAAGCTCCTCAGGATTATTAGCGGGTCGAAACGTGTTCATCAAACGTAACTGCTTTCGATGTTGAGACATCTCATCCGACTGATATTATCAAAAGATTGAGGACCAGGATTGACGAAACATCCACACACATTGTTAGATCCTGCTTGAAGGCTTCGTACACAGGACTAGACTAACAAATCCATGTTTCGTTTCTTTTAGCAATCGCAAATGAGACTTTGTATTTAGATTCAAAACAACTCGTTGTATGTTGACCCACATCGAAAAGCAATTCTCCACAAATACTCAAGGTTATGCCATCCGCAGCCAATCCATCCAAATCCGTGCAATTAGTACTCTTAAATGCCATATTAATTGGTCGAGATGTACGAAAACTCGTTAAATGAAATAAATATCATAAAAATATATAGAGCTGCGACCAACGACATATTGGTCGTGAATTAAGCAGTACGAAAACACAATATTCATTTCCATACACCAAAAGATGGTGATTCAATGATAACATCACGTTATCAGCTTTAGAGAATTCTTTAAAAACTTGTTTAACGAATCGGATAGAAGCAACGGGAACGAGAAGAAGAAGAAGTTGTGAAATCATTGTAAGTGTGTTTATTTCTATTTAACCCGAACAACTTTACTTGTTCAGGGAAAGACATATTAGAGTTGTTTACTAGTAAAAGCTATGTACACACACCTTGGGTGGTGGTGGACAAAATATTGATCATTGGTTATTTTTATTCTAGATCACTAGCTGCCTGTGAAGGAACATACAAAATTTTACTAGAATGCACAAAAACAGCTGGATTGAAGGTTGTCAAACTGAAATGGTCTCCCAAGTGGCAAATCGATTGCTCCAATCCTACCATAACCGTGTTTCATTATAAATCTGTGAAAAGGATAAAGTAAATTAAATGAACATGGCCGTTCAGCACAAGTACTTGTAGTCGATTGGAGAAGACAATTGTCTCCCATGCGGTAAATCGATGGTTCGAATCCTACCATAACCGATTTCATTATAAACTTCGTCAAAAGAAATACGGTAATTAAATAACCATGGCCATTCCCCATAAGATCTTGTAGTCTAGTGGCTAATGCAATTGTCTCCCAAGTGTTAAATCGATGGTTCGAATCCTGCCATGACCTTTTTTCATTATGAACTTCGTGAAAAGAATAAAGTAAACTAAATAACCATGGCCGTTCAGCACAAGACCTTGCAGACTAGTGGCTAAGACAACTGTCTCCTAAGTAGTAAATCGATGTTTCGAATCCTGCCAAAACCATTTTTCATTATGAACTTCATGAAAAGAATGAAGTAAACTAAATAACCATGGGCATCCAGCACAAGACCTTTTGGTCTAGTGGCGAAGACGATGGTCTCCCATGTGTTAAATCGATGGTTCGAATCCTCATAACCGTTTTTTCATTATGATCTTCGTGAAAGCGATAAAGTAGATAAAATAAACATAGCCGTTCCCCGAAGAACTTGTGGTCTAGTGGCCAAGACAATTTTCTCCAAAGTTTTAAATCGATGTTTGGAATCCTGCCAAACTATTTTTATTGTGAACTTCGTAAAAGGATAAAGTAAACTAAATAACCATGGCCATCCAGCAAAAGATCTTGCAGTCTAGTGGCGAGGACAATGGTCTCAGAAGTGGTAAATCGATGGTTCGAATCCTACCACAACCGTTTTTCATTATGAACTTCGTACAAAGGGTAAAGTAAACTAAATAACCATAGCCATCC